CCAGCCTGGGCGACAGAGCGAGACTCCGTCTCAAAAAAAAAAAAAAAAAAAGAAGAAAAGTGAATGCGGGGCAAAGAGCAAAGAGCACAGTGTGGGGTTTATAGATACTCTACTCCAACCCCTCATTTTTCAAATCAGGAAAACTGGGACCTAAAGAAGTGACACGACTTGCCCAGGGCCACACAGCTAATCAGTCGCAACAAAGACACAGAACAACGGGCTTCGTGATTTATTTTCCACAAGTTTTCCTGCAAGGCCATGTCACCTCTGCTCAAAAGACAATCCCGTGCAGGTTCCAGCAACTTCCCTCTGCTGCTGTCCACAGATGGCTCCTGCCGGGGCTGCCACCTCTAACTCTGTCTCCACTGATGGCATCCAGAAGAGCACACAAACGGTTGTGAGCTGAAGGCTTTAAGAGAGGAGGCTTTTTTCCCACTGAACTCTTGTTACCTGCCTAAAAGCAGAGCCTCTCAAAAGAACTGAACTGTCACAAATCCCCTCCTGGGAACTGACTGCAACCAAGGAAAAGAGGGGAACCCACACCCACACACCGTCACAAAACTCATGTATTTTCCTGAAAGCCTATTTATCTTTCCTAGAAGCCACTTGTTTTCCCGTAAGTTCTCTTCTCCCCTCCTAGTAAGATGCCACATACAGCTTAAACTCTAACCACCTCCTGGAGTCACTTTTTTTTTTTTTTTTTGAGATGGAGTCGCACTCTGTCACCAGGCTGGAGTACAGTGTGATCTTGGCTAACTGCAACCTCCACCTCCCAGGTTCAAGCGATTACCCTGCCTCAGCCTCTTGAGTAGCTGGGATTATAGGCACGCACCACCACGCCCAGCTAATTTATATATATATATTTTACTAGACACGGGGTTTCACCATGTTGGCCAGGATGGTCTTGAACTCCTGACCTCATGATCCGCCCACCTCAGCCTCCCAAAGTACTGGGACTACAGGAGTGAGCCACCACACCCTGCCTGAGTCACATTTTTCTATGAACTCTCTGTCTCTCACACACAGACACACGCACACACGCAGGCATATGAATAAACATGTCTTTTCTTTTGCTAATCTGTCCTCTGCCAATTTAATTCACAGGCCTTCAGAACAGAGGCAAAGAGTGTAGAGGAAACGGTTTTCCTCTTCAACATCGCTATAGGAAAATATGAGAGAAATCAAGAAAAGGTTAATACTATTTTCTCTATTACAAACGAAAAACACATTAAAGATAGCTTAAATTACCGAATGAAATGGCACAGACAACTTAAGTATACAGTGAGAATCAACCCAATTACATTATTGCCCCGTAATAAAAACGTTCAGGAACAACACGCTAGAAAAACAGAAGTACAAGAAGACCACAGGCAGGGAGCCGTCCACCTGCTCACCAACGGACGTGCAGTGCTTTGCTCTGTTCTGTTTTCAGTTAGTGTTTTGGGGTCTGGTTTGTTTCGGTTTTACACTTACGCAACACGCACCCTGCTTTCTCTCAGTAACGCCAAAAGCAAGGAACTGCTCCAGGCAGTGACAGATGCTGGGTACAGGCAGGTGAGCTCCAAGCAGGTCAGGAGACAGCGGGGGCAGGACTCGGGATCACTCCTTTAACACATCATGCCTCAGAGGCAGGACAGTAGAGCACACAAAACCAACTGCTGGCCGGTGCACAGTGGCTCACACCCGTAATCCCAGCACTTTGGGAGGCTCAGGCGGGAGGATTGCTTGAGCCCAGGAGTTCGAGACCAGCCTGGGCAACACAGTGAAATGTCATCTCTAAATAAATAAATAAATAAATAATAGCAGGGCGTGGTTGCATGTGCCTGTGGTCCCAGCTACTTGGGAGGCCGAGGAAGGAGGATTGCTTGAGCCCAGGAGGTGAAGGCTGCAGTGAGCCATGATTGCACTCCAGCCTGGGGGACAAAGCAAGACCCGTTGTCAAAAAAAAAAAAAAAAAAGAGAAACAATTGTAATTCTATGTTCAGTATTTATACAGTTCCAACGAAAATATAAAAGGAGAACACACTCCCTCTAAAAGGTAACACATTCTAAAAATAGCAAAACTTAGTCAACAGGATAATACATACAGTTGAAATGTCCATTTTACTCCCAGCAAAAGTACAAAGAGAAAGAGAGGGGAAAACTCTCAGATTTAAGCTGACATTCAAACATTGATTCTTAGCCAAAAGATGGTTAAATTCCTTATGAAACAAATTTGAACTTTGATGGATATGCTAAAATTGAATCTTCTTTTTTTTTTTTAAAGCAAAGTTTATGTACTTCTGAACTACTACCAGGTTCATTCCAGGAAATGTAGTCTGGTTGTGATTCTACTTGGAACTGTGGACACACACACACACTATCAAACAAACTTCTCCGGCAAGTGAGAGCCTACCTCGGCAAGTGAGAGCCTACCTCAGAGTCTGGCACGGGCTGCCAGGGCCCATGGATGCACCAAAGAAACAGGCGGCTGGGCATAGCCACGTCCTCCGAAGAGTCTTTCTTGACTTTAAAACACCATCATGAAGACCTACCCTCTTCCACGGCCATGCCAGAGCTCTGCCCCAGTCCAGACAATCCAGCCAGAGCGCTACCAGCTCCAAAACAGGCAGTTCACACCCCAGTCATAAACTTCTGTAAACAGACTTTCCAGTGGAATTACTGCCCTTGTAACTCTTGCTTCCCTGCATATATTTTATTATTATTATTTTTGAGACGGAGTCTCGCTCTGTCGCACAGACTGGAGTGCAGGGGCGCAATCTCAGCTCACTGCAAGCTCTGCCTCCCGGGTTCACGCCACTCTCCTGCCTCAGCCTCCCCAGCAGCTGGGACTACAGGTGCCCGCCAGCACGCCCGGCTAATTTTTTTTTTTTTTGTACTTTTAGTAGAGACGGGGTTTCACTGTGTTAGCCAGGATGGTCTTGATCTCCTGACGTGATTCGTCTGCCTCGGCCTCCCAAAGTGCTGGGATTACAGGCATGAGCCACCGCGCCCGGCCATATATTTTATTTTATTTATTTATTTTGCAACAGTGTCACTCTGTTGCCCAGGCAGCAGCACAATCACAGCTCACTGCAGCCTCCACCTCCTGGGCTCAGGTGATCCTCCCATGTCAGCTGCTCAGATAGCTGGGACTACAGGTGCGTACCACCGCATCAGTTCATCTGTTTATTTTTTGTAGAAACAGGGATTCACCATGTTGCCCAGGCTGGTCTCAGACTCCTGGGCTCAAGTAATTCACTTGCCTTTGCCTCCCCAAAGGGCTGAGATTACAGGTGAGAGCCACCGTGCCTGGCCTCTCCGCATATATTTTAAAGTGTTTTACTTATTATTACATGTTTTCTTCCCGTAAGATTTCATATTTTACTTTGCAAAACTAAAAAGCCAATATAGGCTTTGTTACCTCCAGTGAGACACTTTAAAACATTTTCTTGAAACGACAGTGAAAACAAATTATTAACCAGACGAAAAATGAAAGATTCAGACAAAATAACTTGATTTCTCTTATATCCATTCAGAGGCCTAACCTAAAGGCCTAACCTAAAGGAAGTATAGTCAAACAGCAAGTATTCCAGTACCTGTGAGATTTTATTTAGAGATTGGGTCTTTGCAGATGGAATAAAGTTAAAATCAGGTCCCCCCGGGTTAGGTGGGCTGCAATGCAATGGCTGGTGTCCTTATGACGCAGACGGAAATTTGGACACAGACAAACATGAAAGGGAGAAAGCCACGGGAGGACGGAGGCAGAGACTGGAGTGATGCATCCACAGGCCAAGGGCACCAGGGAAGGCGAGCTGCCACTGCAAGCTGGACGAGGCTAAAAAGAAGCCTCCTTCGCACCTTGGAGTGATTCCGACTTGTCAACACTTTGATCTCAAACTTCCGGCCTCCACAACGGTGAGAGAACAGATGTCCACTGTTTCAGGCCACCTAGTTTGTAGTGATTTGTTAGAGTAACCCTAGGAAACTCATACAGCAAGGTAATTCAGACGAAAACTAAAGCACAGGGACTGGGGGCATAGCGAAGGTTTTTAGGAGATGATATAAATACAATAAGCTGACTCCCCAGTTTTCTCCTAGGGTACCAGCATCCTGGCTACCACGAGAATTCACA